CCACAGGTTTACATGCTACAGGGACGTCAGGTAAAACACGATTTGTATAGCATCTCATGGCTTTAGCTGCTGACTGGCCACTCGTGATCTTAAATGGGGGGAAACTTCTCTTCTGTGGTGAGACAGAAGGAGCCTGAAGAGAGTAGAAAAGGTGAGTGAAAACTGACTGCTGATGTAGGCTGGGAGGGAAGAGAGGCCTTTAAAAGCCTTTCAAGATAAGAGCCCGAGCACGTTTCTACTCCAGAATACTGCCAGCAGACAGGAAGCAGTCCCAGGCGCGGGAAGAAGAAAAGGGGCATGGAGAGGCACAGGGTTTCCGTAAGGAAGATCCTGAGGGAAGCAGGTGCAAGAATGCATCTTCAAAGAAGGAGCAGGTCTGGCTCCATCCTTTGAGGCAGGAAGGAAGGAGAGATGCAGATAAGTTTGCAGGTGGCAGGGAGGGAGCTTGGGAATTAAGTCAGTTCCTGTTTGGTGGTTTCTGTTTTCCTCTTTAAAATAGACAGGATGTGAAGGGTAGGATGAATGGTCATGTCTTGCAAGTAGCTCGTGGGACTGAGAGGGAGTTGATGGAGAACAGGGAGTTTGCCTGTGGGGGTGGTTCGATGCCTATGCCCCTCACACTGGTAATGCCCAGTTCTCCTGGCATGGGTGGAGAGGATGGATCGAACCAGGGCTGCTTGTGTTTCTTCCTACAGCAGAACTAAGAATTGCGGGCTACTTTGAACGGGAAAGGGAAGAAAGTCAAGTCTGGAGGGAGCTATCAGAGAATAAGACTTACAAATCGTTACAGAGAATTTTGGAAGGTCGAAAGGTTATCATCAGGATATTAGAGATGAAAATTTCTATGGAACTTTTCCATAGAATGTGTTCCATAGATGATTTCACCTACCCACCCAACCATACATTCTCTATTAAAGAATGATTTGCTTAGCACCCAGAAGTGAGAGAGATCCTGCAGGACAAGAATAATGCAAGTCTCAGGGCATGGCCATAGTGAAGTAGAATGCAAATGAAAGTCCTTAGAGTTTAATTGTCCAAGCAAACAAGAGAATGGGGCATTAGACATACCAACTGTAAGGAAAAGAAGTTATAAATCAAAGTTAGCCTTACTGTGGGAAAATAGTGCTACCCAGCAACTAAGATTTAACAACAACAAAAATGCCTGGGCCACAAAGGGTGTATGTTTCAATGGGACCTGATCTGGACTGGGATGTTTTCTCAATGATCCCTGGTTGCGATGGAATTAATTGCTACAATCTCCGGCATTCTAGGCCATTGTATGAAATTAATTCCATCGCAACCAGGGATCATGATCACTCTCTATTTGGCTATTCTTACAGGAAGATGAGAAGGGGCACCGGGAGGCTAAGGGCTTCCATGGAGTTGGGCGGGTGGAAGATCCTGAGAGAAGAAGGTACAAGAATGAGTCTTGGAGAGGAGGGAATAGAGAATTGCCATCTCTAAAACCCAAGAGGTTTTAGCTGGGTTAGTTGAGCCTCTTGGGTAATGGTGAAATATTAAACAGTCAGCACAACGAATTCTTAGACCCCCAATTTCACAAAGTCAGTGTTGCAGTCACCTAATCTGGTGTCATTTTAAGGATTAAGAGTGTAGGGGTTGAGTCTAACCTGTCAATCTAGAGATAGCCAATGAGGCTTCTGTGTGGGCATTCTCCTCCTGAGAATTCTGGGAAATCTGGTACTTCCGAGCGGAAGACACTTCTCTCTCTGCCACTCCCTGGGAGACATTGCAGAAGACAAGCCACATGCACACACCCAGACCTCGGAAGCCAGAGAGACCCCTGCCAGCGCTGAGATGCTAACAACGCCACTGGACCCAATGAGTTTCTACCCACTGGCTTGTGATCGTCCTTCATTTGGCTTCATTGCATGTGTTTTGTGAGTCTGAAGACGACTTTATAGATTGGTATCGGACATATGGGCTAATATCGGACTTATGGACCTGATCTGGACTGGGATGTTTTCTCAATGTTCAATTCCTCTTGTATAAAAACCTCTCCCTTATATACCTATGCATGTTTATGAATTTGTTCCTCTAGTTTACCCAGTCAGTTTTATTATTGTTATTTCACTGGACTGGAGAATGTCTAGAATGTACTTCAAGCAAATAAAGATTCTCCCCTAGAACGAGGTAAGATGAGGACTTATGTGCACAACGAGTACTTCCTTTCTTCAAGGTTCATCCATGTTGTTCCTTGAATGAGGACTTCATTCCTTTTCATGGCAGAATAAGGTCCCATCAAAGCTCTCTCTACAAGAAAAGTTGTAGCCTTGCCAACAGCCATCTCAAGAGATCTTCAGTGAGAGAATAGAATGCTCTTTCATCTGGGAATCAATACAAGGTGGACACACATGTTCAACTTGCAAAAGCTCTACCTCACCTGAAATTTTAAGCAGCTGAGAATCTTGGCCTTCTTCACTCTCATTGAGATACATCAACCTGGACTTGGCTGCAAAGGCAGCACTCTCAGACCTGAGCTGAGAGTCCATCAGTGATCTATACTCTAGAGAAGGGATTAATTCTCCTCCTACTATTAGGAAGCTGTGAGCCCGGCTCCAATTATCTAGTCTTCCCACAGCTCAGCCTTTACTGAGTTAAGATTTGACGCAACACAGGCAGAATCACAAGCATCTCTATGAAGCACCATTTGGAGAAAGCGCATATGAGGACAATGCCTGTTGTATATTATTGTCTCATCTATGGGCGTTTCAGACCTAGGGTGAAATACATGGACCATCCCCTGCATCTAGTACACTTAGCTCTGCTTGATTTACTGGGCTTTCTGCATTCGAATATTGTTCTCTGTATTTTAACATCATCAAAAACAGGGGTCAAGTGGGATTCCGATCTGATTACGAGGATCCCATGAGTGTCAAAGCAAAACTCTGCTCCCAAGTGTTTTCAAGAGCCCATTTTTCAGAAGTAGATCACCAAGCTTCCTTGAGTTGCCTTTGGGGGGACTTGAACCTCAAAACATTTCAAAAGCACATACATTTTTTTGTCCTACCCGGGAACTCCAATTTAACACTGTAAGCTCCTTTGAGTCAGTCTTGGAAAGCAGAGATTTGTGCCATCAAGAGAGGGCCTTTGACTACTTTGCTTGCTCCCAGATGCCCAGGACTAGACCAGAGCCTGGTCTGTCTGCAGTTTGTGGCCAATACGCGTGTTTCAATGAAGTCGTAGAGCATGAATGACGAAGCAATCGACACAAAAGCACCGCAGAAACCGCCCACTGTGTTATGCACTGCCCCTCATCTTCTTAGCAATGAGCCAAAGGTAGAGGAAGTTTTTCCAAAGGTAAAGTTGCTTTTCATCTCCTTCATTCATGCTTTCACTGCACTGCTACCGTGGACCCTAGTAACACAAATGGTTAAACCCTCGGATTGAAAGGCTGGTGGTTTAACCTATCCAGTGGCTCCACAGAAGAAAGGCTACTTCCAAAAAATTACAGCCAAGAAAAAAGTCTATGGAGCAGCTGTATTCTGACACGTGGGGTCACTCACTGTACATGGGAATGAACTTGATGGCACGAAACACATGTATCAAAAACCCTCTGGCATAGTCACTGCTCTCCTGGAGCTTATTCATTAAATGGATCATCAGAAAACTATGGGACGTGCAGTGAGTCCAAGGGTATGAGATAAGATATAGATCTCAAGGGTGCGCAGGGGAGAGCACAAAGCCGGATGCAAATATAAGGAGGTGGGAGCAGGGCTCTCAGGGGATGAAATCCAAACCAAACTCACTGCCCTGGAATCAATGCTAACTCATAGGGGAGACTCTAACTGTTTACAGGAATAGAAAGCACAGTCTTTCTCCCTCGGAGCTGCTGGTGATTTTGAACTGCCGACCTTGTAAATCAAAGTGAAACCACTACATCACCTCTCAAGGGAGGAGCAGACTATAATCAGGAGGAGAAGGGAGGAGTCACAGGACAGGAGCTGAGCAGAGAGAATTAGAGGCAGCAGATAAGGAGTGAATGCCGCAGCAGTATCCTCAAATGAGGAAGTGGCGAGAGGCGAAGCAGTGGGAAGGCCAGAGGCCTTCTGAGCTCAGCTTGTGAGTGGGTGTTAAACTGGGGCGTGGCTAGATGAGGGCTGCACTTGAGATGGGTGACCTAAATGGCTGAGTTAACCTGATACCAAGAGCCAGGATCTGCAGGACCAGTTAGCTCAGGTAAGGGCTCAAAGGGCCTGCCACTTCTCAAGGACTTTCAAAAATACCATTTTAAAAATTTATATACATTATAACTAGCATTCTCAGATACTTTCTAAGGGTCTTTTTATTTTTTTTGCATTGTTGCCTACTGTAATATACTCAAAGAGTCTTGGTGGTATAGTGGGTTTATGCATTGACCTTCTAACCACAAAGCAAGTGGTTCAAATCCTCCAGCTGCTCCTTGGGAGAAAAAGAGGCTGTCTGCTCCCGTAAAGCTTTAAAGTCTCAGAAACCCAAATGAGCACTTCTACTCTGTCATAAGAGGCCACTATGATTCAGAATCAACTGATGAAAATCCTAGAAAGCAAAATGGCAAAAGCTGTCACAGCCAAATACAGCCACTTCTCTGCTTGCTTAGTAAGGACCGCAAGCAAGGGAAGTGGCAGGTCAACTTTGTAAAATTTACCTCTGCTTAACAGATCTCGTGGCAGTATTTTTTTAAAATTTACAAGGTAAATGACAGAGACGGAAGGAACTTTAAGGCCATCATCCTACAGAACTATACAGGTACCTATAGCTAAGTAAGGAATAAAAAGGGTATCGTTTTATAGAATATGTGTGAGAAAATAGTCTAGAATGTAAAATCAATGCAGTCAACAACAACATTGATGCTGCCAGCAACCTTCTTACTGGTAATCAGTCAAAAGAGGACTTTTATTTAAGTCTTCCTGCTTTCTCCTTTATGAAGTCCATGCTAAGCGTGCGAGCTAATGATGCTGGCCTGATTTTCTCAGCCGTCACCCGCATCTGACCGACGTTACCTTGTGCACGATGAGCTCATGCGTGCCATCTGGAAGAGTCCTGCCATCCTCCTGCATCAGAGGGACAAAAGAGAAGCCGAACAACTTCTTCTCTCCTTTCTCTTTTGCTGTGGAGGAAAAGGACAAGGAAGGGAAGGAAGGACACACTGTTAAGGCCACGCGTTTAGATACATAGAATGCCAAGAAGCAAGATCATCAAAAGATCCCTACAACATAAAGAGAAGCTTTTAAGGGTGTGTGTTTGTGTGTGTGTATCAAAGTAGTCATTTTCTAACCCCATTCCTGCCCCTCATCTGAAAATTACTCTCATGTTTACTGCTTCAGTTTCTTTATGGAACTCCATTTCTGGAATTATGTTTAAAAGAAAATGTTCAGGTTCCCCCACATGGACTAAGTGTCCAGTGAACTCCCTGTGACTATGGGCCAGGGATGGTGTTGCCTTGTTAACAGACAGGGAGCATTGTAGGGCAGCTGTGCTTAGGTTAAAATGTGACCGCTTGTCATTTGGTCTTCCTTTCGATCGAATGCATTATTTATTCTAGTTTTTAATGTTTTCTGTTTTCAATTTAGGTTTTTCTGTTTCATCCTGTCGTAGAGCTGCTTAGATTTTGTATGTGCTTCTGTTTATGAAATCCAGGCTAGGAACAACTATACAGACAGCAACTGGACTAACAGCTTCTTAGGGGTATGGCAAGGGAGATTGGTGGGTAGCAGGGAGCTAGTAATTGGTAAAGAAAGAAGAAATAACCTCAAATTGTTTGTGGTAGTGATTACAAAACTCTTTTGAATATGATGGAACTACTGAAATGTGTGCTATGCGAATTACATGTCAAGAAAATGTTAAAAATATGTAGACTATTTCTTCTCACATCCTGTTCCCATTGCCTGATAAAAGCAGCACTGAGGGCAGCACTCTTGTTTATTTCACTCGTTATATTATTAGATGCTCAGCATTGCACATAAGAATCTGTCGGGTCTCAATGACAAACAAAAACAGTTGCGGAGAAATCAACTCTGACTCCTGGGACACATGCTACATAGGGCTTTCAATGACCAATTTTCTATTTTTAAACTAGATCACCGTTATCTTCCTTTGGGTACCTTTCGGGGGACTTGCACCTGCAACTGTTTGGTTTATAACTCAGTGCACTAACTGCTCAGGAACCCCAAAGTTCTCAGTAAGCTTCTCAGTTAAGTAAATGAATGAATGAATGAATGAATATGAAATGCAATATTCCATTTACTAACAAGAGAAAGGGAGTCTCCCATCTAAGACACAATTATTGATTTCTTCCCATCTGGAGCAAAGGACAGTGAAGAAAATCACAGACTCAAGGAAGAATTTAGGTCACCGGAAACATGGCCTCTTCTAGCCTGAGACCAGACCTAGAGGGTGCCCTCCTACTACCACCAACTCTCTACCCAGAAACACAATGGCAACTCCCAATTAAAATAGGAAAAAGACCCTCAAATTCATATAGAAAGATTAGGCTTACTAGACTGATAGAGACTAGATGAATCCCTGAGACTACTGCCCTAATAAGATAACCTTTGACCTGGAACAGAAGCCACTCCCAATGGTCACCTTTCAGTCACATAATAAAGTGACCTATAAAATAAACAATCACACTTGTGAAGAATGTGCCCCTTTAAACAACTGTCATGTAAGATCGAATAATCAACGTTTACCCCAAAGCAAAGATGAGAGGTGTAGTAGTTATATAATGTGTTGTCAATCTGAGAGGATTACGAGTAAAAAGGTAGAGTTTAGCCTGTCAATCAGGTCTCAGCTTGATAATCTCATTTGGAGGCAAGAAGGAGACAAATAGCTTGTTGGAGGCAGGACACTGCTCACTCCCTGGGAGACACTGCAGCTGACACATGGAGCTACACTAGTGCCCTGAGCTGGAGGAGCTACGTAGAGACCTCTGCCAGCGCTGGGATGCTTATACTGCTGCTGGATCCACAAGATTTACCATCCACTGGTCTGTGATCTTCTTGCATTCAGCATCATTACATGTGTTGCATATAAGTCTTAAGATGAATTTATAGATTGGGTTATATCGGTCTTGTGGACTTGCTCTGGACTGGGCTGGGATAGTTTCTCAATATTCAATTGTCTTGTATATAAAGCTCTTTCTTATACACATATGAGTGTCTCTGAATTGGTTTCTCTAGTCAACTTGGACTAACACAAGAGGAGAAAGAGGGACAGGGAAAGTGGATGGATGGAGATGGGGCAGGAGGAGCGGTAAGTGTTCAACTGTTAACACACTGTAAGGACTGAAATCAGTGTCATGGAACAATTTGTGTATGAATTGTTGAGTGGGCATATACCCTGCCATGTAAACTTCCCCTAAAACACAATAAGCATTTGAAGGAGAGGGTAAGGGGGCAGGGTGTGCTGCTCTGACCCATGCCTGGACGACGTTCTCTACACCCACACATGTGAGGACAATGAGCCCTGTAGAAGTAAACCTCCTTGGAGTAAGTATAGTTGATTATAAGAACTTACTATAGCAATATTCTGGAAGCTGGAAATGAAATGAGGTTTTCAGATGTCTAATTAAGAATTAGAATGGTGAGAAATGTCAAATGTAATTAGCAATTATTTATCGATGAAATTGTGATTGTAAGATGTTAGGCAACTTGCTCTTGATTGCTTGAGAATTCCTGTTTTTTCCATCGAACTTCTTTTCCTGCCCAAATGGAGAGAGCATTGAAAGAGCCATGTCTGTTCAAGTCAACTTGCCCTTGTGCTTAGATGTGCAGGGAGGAGTTCTCTTCCGACTGCCGGCTGAATGCTATTCTTCCCTCACAAGTGGAGTGTGCCCTTGAGAGAAAAGTCTGGCTTCTGGATGCTGTGAGACTGGAACCAGAGGAGTTAAGATAGGATGATCTTGAAGATCAGACAAGTGGTTTTAGCGCCATGTTGTTCCCTTACAAATCCTGCACTATTTAACCACAGGAAAGTGTGGTCCCACACAGAGAAGAGTGCCTTGGCTGACTGGTGTTGGCTCTTAGCATGTCCCTGAAAACATGGCTATAGCAAAGGATTTGCTTCAAAAATCATTCATTTCATTTTCATAATTTCAAAATTAATAAATAAATTCATTAATTTTAGATTTGCTTCTAAAATCATTCATTTCATCTTCACAGAGGAACTGGATAAAACTGATGTTCTTTAAAGTAAACCAAAAATCCTAGTTAAAAAAAGATCTATGGAAAGATATTTTTTACATTAATGGTTGTTTGGGGTATGGAAATTCTGAATTGAGGGAGAAGGTTTACTTTGAAGTCATTTCCTATGATTATTTTATGATCTTTTTCGGTGCGTGTGCTGTGTGCTGTTCAATTCTCAAAGAAAAAAATGGATAAGAGATTCCATAATAAACACTGGATGGACGAACACAGATAAGAAACGAGACAATAACTTTTGAATATTGGCCTCCTGTTCAAATACCAAAACTATTTTTTCTTTTGAAAATCTTTTATGATCTTCACACTCTCTTATGTTGCTGCTCACAAGCCATCTTATTCGAGAAGTCTTTCCTGACCTAATTAAAATAGCAACACAGGCCCGATCACAGCCTCTGATTCAATTTAGTCTTCATTGTATTCTCAAATGAGCCCCGTTGGCACAGTGGGTTATGCATTGAGCTGAGAGCCACAAGGTTGGAGGTCCAAAGCACCAGCAGATCTTCAGGAGAGAGAGGAGGCGGCCTGCTCTGTAACAAATTACCGTCTCAGAAACCCTAGGGAGCAGTTCTACTCTGCACTACAGGTTACTCTGAGTTGGAACGACTCAGAGCAGTGGATTTAGTACTCAGTACTGCCTTACACATCTTATCTTTGGCTTGCTCATTTTTTGTGTCTTTCCCAAGGCAATGATGCCACGCCAGTGTCCCATACTGTCTTGGCATATTGTAGGTGTTCAGTGAAGACTTGATTTAAGAATAACGTGACTCTCTCTCTCTGAGCTTTTGAGATTATAACTGCTTTCAGGAGTAGAAAGCCTAGTCGTTCTCCTGCAAGAGATGACACACTGAAATATTTAGAATCCCATGTGATCAAATGATTACAAGGATTAATCCCACTTTGGGAGATCAGGGGGACTTTTTCTTCTTTATACTTTGCTGTTTCTTCTAAAACTTAACGATAATTAAACATATAAACAACAAGAACCAACAAATAAAAAGTCAGCCTATTAATAGTGTTTGAAGTATAAGCGCAAGAGGGTAGCATGCAAACAATTCTATGCTGAAATTGGCCTTTATTTTGCTTTCCAAGTTCTGAGTTAAAATCATTTCCTCCAAAATGTTATGTTATTTCCTGCTTTACCTTTCCTTTCCATTTCCCCTCCTTCTCTAAAGCTAAAAGCTCATATTAAGATCCAGTGAGAATTAGTCAAATTTTGGTGAAAGTGAGGATGTGGGACAATTCCAAACCCTTTGGATTTTCAAACAGCCAGAATTCCTTGGGAAATGTTTGGAAATCTGGAGAATGGTGGAATAGCTAGTTCTCATCTGGCATTCTGACACAGCCAACCAGCGTAATTCAGGTGTGGCCAGGAGCCATTCCCTACAACCAAAGTCCCTTTCCTTTGCCCTATTTTGAATGAAGTTGAGACCATTCAGGTCAAGTCAGCCCGTATCTACGAGCAAGGACACCTCTCCTCCCAATTCACACACTCATTCCTTCTACAGGGTTGTGTCTCCATGAGTGTGACCCTCTTTTGATATCACTCCCTTGTCAGGCCACAATTCACACTCTGGGAGCTTCTGAAACAAGGACAGGAAATACAGGAATCTCCCTGGCTTGGGGCTAGTTGCTAGAGCTGGAGAGATTAAGAGGACGGTAATGCATGCGAAAGAACGAAAACAGAGTCATCAAGAAAAGACAGCTGCCTGGCAAGCTCCACGTGGACAAATCCTGCAACAGCGCTCTCTTGGGTTTCTCATGCTGCAAAGTGAGGCAGTTACTTTGTGTCCTCTATACCCACGGACATGACTTGATTCTCAGTTGAATACTGTCTCAGATTGCACAATGGTGCAGGCACATACAAATCAGAGGTAAACGTAAGCCCCCAATGCCTTACCTAGTGACTTAAAATACCACCCTGCAAAATCCTGCCGGCTGCCCTGATCCATCCATGTGCTGCATCAGCTCTTGGCTGGAGAGATACTAGACTTGTCAGGGATGCCCAAGGCCAGGGGAGAGAGCTGGCACACTGTGGGAAGTGCAGCCATCGCAACACTACATACAAACTAGTGAAAGGGAAGCTAAGCTGCTCTGCAAATGTTCACCCACAACATGCACGTGCACAAGTGCACACACAGAGCCCACCTGAGCCAGTCACATTTTAAGTCTTTTCATCTCCTATTCTGGATAGTCTTTCAAATTGTAAAGTGATGAGCTGATCTCTTTTCATAAGTATCTCTTCCTCCTCTTACTTCTTATTCTTTTATTTCCATAAAGCAAGGGTAGGGAATGTTTTTTTCTACCAAAGACCATTCAGATACTTATAACATCATCCATGGGCCATCCTGGCCAAACATTTAATGAACTCATCCCTGCTGTGGCTGCTGGAACTGCTTCCCCTTGGTGAGGCCTGTGATGTGAACTGGGATGGATGGTGCCGTGGCTGGACCTTCCTTAGAGGTCACATGCCATTTGGGATTCCCATTCACCCCGATTCTTCCTTCTGGAAAGCTCTGATTTGCTGAACACGTATAGATTTAATTGTGGATCCTAAATGCATGTTGAATTCCTGGCCCTAGACTGTAGACCCTATATTCAATCACTTGTGAGTTATACACAAATTTCAGAGTAGACACAGAGACTGTGATATCAACAAATGCCAGAAAGCGCCACGGAATGCAAGGCAACTCTTCTGTCTCCCAACAGAGAAGGATTTCTCCTTGAGCCACACCCCAAATTTAGACTACTAGTCTCTTAAACGGAGAATGGAAATTTCTGTTCTCTCAAGCACCCCCTACCAGTGGTATTTTTGTTACAGCAGCAAGAGGCACATACTTTCTGCCTAGAGCAGCAGTTCTCAACCTGTGGGTCATGACCCCTTTGGGGTTCAAACAACCCTTTCACAGGGGTCACCTTAGACATTGGAAACCACATAAATAGTTCACAATATATAATTTCATATTGTTTTTGTGATTAATCACAAAATTATGATTTAATTATATTCAATTTGTAACAATGAAAATACATGCTACATATCAGACATTTACATGACGATCCAGAACAGTAGCAAAATTACAGTTATGAAGTAGCAAAGAAAATAATTTTATGGTTGTGGAGTCACCACAACATGTATTAAAGGGTCGCAGCATTAGGAAGGTTGAGAACCACTGGCCTAGAAGGTTCAGGAAGCAGACAGGTTCAATCCAGCAAAGTACGCAGGCGACCTCACCAAATACTTACTAGAACAGTGCCGAAATTCAAAGCGGACATGCGCACCCCTGAATTTATCCACAGGAATGGGAAGCTTCAGCAGTTCGGACCACCTGGGACTGTTGTTATGATAAAGCACAAAGGAGTGGTAGTCACTAGCTGGTGGCTCTCCAGAGCCGAAGGAGATAAAATCCTAAGGAAAGAAGCACCCAGGTTAAAGACAGCTTGGTTTATGGCTCATTTTGAGACAGCAGAGCAATGCATTACTTTGTTCTATCCCCCTGATCCCCAAATGGCACTTTCACGCACAATTACCTGCTTGATCCCTTCCACTGTGTCTTCTATACTTGTGGCTGCCTAGTGAGCCACGTCTGTCTAATTCACCTGGTCTCCCAGGGCCTATCCAGCAAGGTGGCCCTCCACAGGACATGTGGGAAATGGGCAATTGCATGCCCAATTTGGAGTTCACCCACACGGCAAAGTTCCCAACCTGCTCTAGTGAAGAGCCCGCTCTGTGCCTCAGCAGCAGGCTCACTAAATGGGGGACCAACCCTCTGATTTGCACAGGTAATTGTACTTCTCCATCCAGAGCGGATTCATACAAAGTACTTCTCCCACAAAGGAACTGTAACCACCACATTTAGTCACCCCCTATTCCTCAAGGTCTGTTTTGGCCGAAATGGAAATACATAAAATTGAACAGACTAGATTAATATGATTTATTTCTTCACTTTTTACCAGTCACTGAAGAAAAAATTATTCACCTCTGAAACTATGAGCAAAAATGGGGGAATATAGCATAAAAATACTACATTTAAGAAATCAACTTAAATCACCAGCCACTGAGTTGATTCCAAATCATAGCAGCCTTATAGGAGAGGTGGAAGGGCCCCTGACCGTTTCTGGGACTGAAACTCGTTATGGGAGTAGAAAGCCTCGTCTTCCACTCGAGGAGTAGCTGGTGGTTTCAAACTGCTGACCTGGTGGTTAGCAGCCCAATCCATAACCCACTATAGCACCAGAGCCTCCTCTCAAGAAATCACTACTATACGCAAATTGTTGACCTAATTAACTTAAACATTCAATTATGGAACTCTTTTGTTCCTGTTTCTCTGCTGGATCACATGAATGATAAAACAAGAAGGAGGACACAAGGGTGGAGAAAAAAAGCAAGAAAGAAATTCTGCAGGTTAGAAACTAACTGATGGAATTAAAAATGAACCCAAAGCAATTACATGGAATTGTTTCACACACCACACACACCACACACACACACACACATCTTATGCTAACTTACCTTTAAGGTCTGGCCACTACTATCTATAATAAACATGGCGACTTCCACATTTCTGGCCACGCTCTTCCCACCTTTCTCAAATTCTCCCCTTTCTATAGTGATATATAAATCATTCCTCATTTCACCTAGGAGGAAAGAGAATTAAAACCATGTTATGCATACTAGGAAATCTAACAAAGCGCACTACCTAGAAACACGTTTCAATCATACTTGCCTATTACACATACAGAAGTACACTTATACCTCATTCATCTATACCAGCGCCCCTGGTCCCCACCTGCATTGCCAGTAACTGAGAAGAAAGCCCAGCCTGCCCTCGTTAGTCTGAATTGGCACTTCTGCTGGAGAAGGTGCGGCGAGGACGTGGACGCTGGAACAGAGTGGCAAAGGGCTGTCAAACCTGGGCATTTGCCATATTCCCCTCATTTCATTCCCCTCATTACGAGGTGTGATCACAAAACGACGGTGTGGCAGGGGCTTTTCACAGGAGCCACTCTTGCTACTTTGTAGTCACAGCACTTAGCATTACAGAAATGCAAAATGGAATGGGAAAATACCAGGGCTACAGAGGGTACAAGTGCAATTTGCATCTTGTCCAAAATCCACGGCCCAGACGATCTCACTGCTGGGAGAAACCGGGTGAGTGCTTCGCGAACACACATGCAGAATAACAATCCAGCCATTCAGACAAAGTCAGGTCGTGGAGGTATAAAACAAAGGAACAAAGCCCTAGATTTATATCGACTTGGTTAGGTACATGTGCATTATCTAACCCCCATCCTCCACGGGTTATTTAGAAGACTTGAATGCTTTTTGATCTTGCCCTCCTCTTGTTGCTGGGGAAGAAGAGAGCACTTTTTGCCTACTAGCAACCTTAAACTAAGGGGAGTGGCAAATGGACAGAGAAGTGAGAAATAAGCAAGTGGAGTGACACTAGAACACTTTAAAAGGCTGGCCAAGTTGAACTTACTTTCACTTAAGATAGCTTTCAAACATTTGAAAATCAAAAGGAACACACACACACACCTATTTAATTAAAAAAAAAAAAATACCCCAGAAGCAAGCAGGTCATTAAAGGAAAAGACTATGCCCAACATTTGGAGATTTATGAAAATTTCCTGAGCACGGCAGTTACAGGAAAGTTCCCCCAGCTCTGCAGTAGCATGGGGGATACCAATGTCCCTGCTCGCCATCCTCCACAGGGAACAACTGTTTCTGATAAAATCATTTGTGAATGACCTGGGCTGACCAGGAAACAGATGGCCCATACAGCGGGGGAAATGAGAAGTCCTAAAACAGATGAAACCTGAAATCACCCATTATAACAAGCATAAAAAAACTATAAAATGTAGTTTATAGAATTGACACAGGGCTGCTACTTTATAAATTTCCAGTACTTTCAGATCACTGGCAGAAACTCCTTGGGAAGGCAATCAACCTAGAGGGCCAGGGGCAAAGCAACATTCTTTAACAACCTGTAAACAATATTTATATTTTACTTTGTTTTAATAATTTTTCTTATATATTTTACAAGGGATATATGTGTGTATATATATTTAATAAGCCCACTTGATTCAGTTACTACATATACAAGGGGGCTTCAACAAGTATGTGGGCAAATGGAATGAAAAGATATAGAATTTTTTCACAAACTTGTTGAAGCCCCATTGTATATTCCTACAACACACACACACACACACACACACACACACAGTTACTTTTTTTAAAATTACAACAGAGGGTGAATACATAAATTTCTCTGAAATAACCAACCTCAACAAACTATAAAGGTCTCCCCATACATATGCTATTTCAATATTATGTGTGGGAGGAAATTCATAACAATAGTTTTGCAATGAACAGAATTGGCCGGTTTAAAAAAACAAAACAAAACAAATACTCATATCCAGTTACTTTAGCAAGGGATGTTAGCTAACAATAGCAAAATTCCTTTACTTTGTGGAATAGGTGACACATAATGAATTGTTCTGCTTACAAACAGATTACCGTGAGGAAGGACAAGTACACCGAGAGGGCTTTTCCCATTAGGAAATTCCTCATAATTACTCATAGCCTGCCCCAGTCACATGTGGATTAGCTGTCTGTCAAGTGATGCCGAGGTATCTGGGGGATGGCAGCTTCTATCGTTTCACTTGCTGCGGACAAGGATGCTGTCATCTCAGCAGCGGGGAGAGGTTTACAAGACAATCGTTTTTCTGGCCTGTGGACTAGGCCCAAAGGTGGACGTAGGTGTGTGCTGGGGGAAGGGGGTGGGGGGGGGGGGAAACCAGGCAGTGGCTCACTCAAAAACTGCCGTCAAGTGTGATGCTGACTCACAGCAGCCCTATAGGACAGAATGAAACTGTTCCTGTGGGCTCACGAGACTATAACTTTTTATAGAGTAGAAAGCCCCTCCTTTCTCCTTTGGTGTAGCTCAGCGGTTCTGAGCTACAGAAGGGGTCTCGACCCCTTGGGTAGTCAAATGACCCTTTCACAGGAGGCACCCGATTCATAACGGTAGCAAAATTACAGTTATGAAGTAGCAACAAAAATAACTGTATGGTTGGGGGGGGTCACGGCAACATGAGAACTGTATGAAAGGGTCATGGCATGAGGAAGGCTGAGAACCACTGGTGTAGCTGGTGGTTTCAAACGGCAAGCCTTGCAGCAAGCACCCCAACGCTTACCTACTATGCTACCAGGGGACCTGAGACAGTGGTTAACTTCATGAAATTCCCCACGTAGTAATTTAGCAAATATATAGATAGATAGATAGATAGATAGATAGATAGATAGATAGATAGATAGATAGATAGATAGATAGATAGATATCGCACATCCACAAGGGGCTCTGGTGGCATAGTGGGTTATGCACTGGGCTGCTAACCATAAGGTCAGTGGGTCAAAACTATCAGTCTCTCTGCAGGAGGAGAAGAGGTTGTCTGCTTCCTCCAGTAAAGATGTACTGTCTCAGAGAGCCACGGGGGCCGTTCTGCTCTCCTATAGGCTTGTGTGAGTTGAGATTGACTTGATAGCAGTGAATTCTGATCATCTACAAGGTGGCAGGTACTATTCTAGGCCCTGCAAACTGAACCATGAGCAAAACTCCGTCCTCCCTAAATCTTAGTAGGGAGAGAAGCTGACAAGTATCAAAAGCAACCTAAAAACTCTATCAGTAAAAACACAGTGTGTAGAAGGATGACAGGCACTCCAACATGAGGAGGGGACTGCAGAAGACTGAATGGGGCAGGGCTTTTACACCGGCCACTGAGAGAGAGAACAGAGCATGCTGGCGCGTGTTCTGACAGAGCAGCAATGCTGACACAGCACTGGATTCTGAGAATCCTTTCTTTACTTCCTTAGGTCACGGAATCCTCTCTCTTCTCAAGAGAAGGACGAGTAGATAAGCCATAAACCCAACAGGTGCAGGGTCACAGGCAGATGGGAATATGGGAATCTAGAGTACTTTTACCTCAGCTACTGTCTCCTTTGTGGGAAGCTCGTCGAGACTGAGTAACAACATCTTTGGGCCTCAGGTTCTTGTGTCATTGTTGCAGAGAGAGACTATTTCTAAAGTTCCTTTCTGCGAAAAAAATTACCTTCTGCTGTCTCGAGGACATACAAAGGAACTTCCAGAACAGAAAGCATTCATAAGATACTATTTACCTGTGGTTTAATTTTCTATTCCATCAGCATCACCATTTACCTTTTTCCCAAATCTTAGTATTGAAATAATATTTCTTTTTCACGGAGAGGCTGCTTGACAAAAGAGAACATTTCTCTAGGGTGACACTCTGCATACGCTTCTCCCCAGGAATTTTACAGCTTACTAGAGTCAGTCCCGCAAGGGGCCACGCTTTGCCAAAATATGCAGATGGATAAAGTTGAAACAAGTGCTAATTAAAATCAATACACTTGAGGTCAGCTCCCGAGAAAACTAATAAGCCCAAATGGTGTTAGGAATGCATCTTGGGTAATTAGGAGAGAAACCAAGGAGCGATTCGGAATATCAGTGTGAAAATCTCTTGTCCTGACAATGTGTATTAACACGGTATGGCTTCCAAAAGTATGACCCTGTAAACCTGAGATCCGCAACACCTTCCTGTTTAGCAGACCTATTGACCAGGACGCCTGTATGTACATATGCGAAGGATTCTCAAATTATTACTGTAGACGGAATAAGGATTGGGCCACAGCAGCGAGGACAAATGGAAAAGAGCACAATGACTAGAGTCAAGTACAGGGAATGGATGGCTTGACCACAACTGAACAGAGGGCTGTGCCTCCAGCTCTTGATTCTGCCCTGTGGTTATTTTGGATAAAGGTACAAAATGAATACTCACCACACATTTAGTCCACCACATGTGGCCACAGGGTCTAGCCCAGTGTCTTATCTGACCTCGTGCTTACTGATATTTATGGACCTGAAACATAGTTTGTTCTTTGGGTGAAAAAAAAAAAAGCTTATGTGCAAAAAGCCCAGGAGTATGTATGTATGAATGTAGATTATGGATGACGATGATGATGATAGCAACAGGAGCAGCAATAAAACTTTATGAAGGCCTACTATGTCTTGGGGCATTTGCCAAGGCTCCAAGAAGATCATTTGATTAAATCCCCATAGCAACTTTACAGGGGGCTTCAAAAGGTCTGTGGAAAAATGGAATGGGAAGATAATGAAAAATTTCCATCAATGATTTGAGCCCCCTCATATCAGAAGACACTATCTTTGCTTCTATTCTATGGAGAAAGCAACTGAATTATAGTGATTAAGAAATGTGTCCAGAGTATCGTAAGCATGCACAGATGAAGAAGTATAATTCAACAGGGGGAGAAAAACCATCAAATAAGCTAGTGCAATTCATCCTGCATCCCCAGCAAAAGGGTATGTGGAGCCCAGAGGTCTTGGTCTGCTGCATTCCTCCCTGGAGCACTGGTGTCCATTCTGGGACCATCTCTCCAGGACAGAACCAACACAAAGTGGCAGCACCCAGAACAGAAGCAATATGATGAAAGAGCTCAGAACTCATCACAGGAGGGATGAGGGAGGCTGATTACTTTAAAGTAGAGCAGCTCCAAGCAGCAGAAGGGAAAGCACCAAAAAATACGTATTAGCGGGTTGGTTTTTCTTCAAAAAAAATATTTAATTAATTTTTTTAAATCATTTTATTGGGGGCTCGTACAATTCTTATCACAATCCATACATCCATCGATTGTGTCAAGCACATTTGTATGCAAATCCATGGAAGAGAAAGAAAGACCTGGAGGTCTCTTTCTGTAGAGCTAACAGCTGAGAACGCCACCTGTGGAGCAATGGGCCATGGCTTGAGTTGGGGTGTGGCAAAGAGGCACAAGGGAAAGAGCTGAGCCACAGGAGGGAGGGCTCAAGGTACACAGAGGACAGGGGGCGGGAATATAAGAAAGGCCATGAAAACGTCGCCGACACAGATTCACCAACTGAGATTAAGACTGAATCTCAGGGTGAAAGGAGGGGACCACCTGACCTTCTGTGACATTCCTGACAAGGCCACCAGCTTCTGCTCCAGAATGTCCGGTGGATGGAAACCAAGTCCATCCTGAGACTTGGCAGTGGCCCAGCCTTGGCTTCACACAGAGTCAGCCAAGACCCGTAGGCTCAGAACCGCTGCCACTTGGGGCAGCTGAGCACTTGAAATGTGTGTGGTGTGTAGAGAGATGCACCGTCAAATACGCACCAGCTCTCAGAGCCAGAGCCAAAAAAAAAGGGAGAAGGCAAACTGTCTTTTTAATGACTAAAGACTTATTGAGATTACAGTCTTTTTGGTGTACTGGGGTCAACACAATTATTCTGAAAACGAATTTCACTTTGCTTTTTTTGTTTTGATGGTGGCCAACCAGAACAATTACATTTATACTTGTGCTTCGCATAACATTTCTTTTGGAGAGCTCTGATTTAAATCTTATTTTATTTTTCTAACCTCTTGTAAACAGCTCAATGCGTAACTCATTACACCAACACAGGCACCTTCAAAATTGTATTTTATTTTTTTAATGCTTCCCTCTCACAGGCTTGGAGACCCAGGATGGAAGTCCCTTCAGAGTTAGCTGGCTTACAAAATGCAGAGGGTCTTCATAGAAAGTGCCTTTTCTTCTTTAAACATCAGGTGCCCTAAGACAGTGCTGAACAGCCTACCCTTGACCCTGGGGAAGAGTCCAGAGGACATCCAGGTGACACTAAGTTCGGCATGCAGACGCCCTCCTCAAACCTGGCCTCGCTCAAGGAAAGACTATTTGTTTCTCTGTTTTCCCCATTTCAAAAATAGCTTGGCACTGATGACGTCCCGGGACCCTCAGAGCAAGCTATGTGCATGAGCCTGTCACCACAGAGCCACGGATAATTCATTCTGCAGAGAGGCGGTGCCTGGGCTGGTCAACTCGGTTGCATGGATACAAGCATGTGTCTGACCTGTCCGGACCCTAGCTGTCCACTATGGATGCAAATTAACGCTGAAGGACAAGACTGCACAGTGAAAAAGATATAAAAATTTAAAAGGCCGGGCTTGCAGACAGTCAAGGGAACACTGAGATCAGACAACCAGTCGTCCATGCTGGTCTTCTCCTGAAGCATTTGGCCAGTTTCCTTTAGAGGCCCACGATGAGAATTCATCAGCAAGCCAACATTCGGATGCGGAACAAAAGGGAACAGAGCTAGGACTGCTGGCTTCCCACGGTTGCTTGGAGGTAGGTATGCAAATGAACGCGTCCTTACTTCGGTCCTCCACTTTGAAAGATTCCAGGCTATTACTGTTAGGTGCCCCTAAGTCATTTAGACAAACAGCTGCCCCATGTGGCAGACTGGAAATAACCCATAGGTTTTCCTGGGTGTAATCTTCACTGAGCTTCCTCCAGGGGAGCTACTGGTGGGTCCGAACCACTAACCTTTTGGCTAGCTTAATGGACTGTGCCCGAGGGGCCTTCTTAGTTGGAAGATTAAGAAGCCGAGAATGACAAGGAGAGAAGAAAGTGACTGAAAAAAATGTCTCGCAGTCCCTGGACCTGCTGTCCCTCCGCAGAAAAGGCTGTTCCCCTGGCCACCACAAGCCTGGCCAAGGCACCACTTGGACAAGGGAGGGGACAGAAGTAAGACTTGATCCACTGGAAGCTCATTTCCGTCATTAGAGGCAGACAACAGCCGCAGGAGCACCGCACACCCCAGGCAATTACTCACCAGATGAAGTGTCACCCAGCTTTATGTTTTTCCATTTCTCACTGATACTGCCCAGAGATCAAGCTGAGAAATTCTTCCAACAGCTGGCTATATTCTGCTCTGAAATATGTTTTTTATATTAGATTTACCCATCAATTTGCTTCCCAGTGGGATGCAATTTTGGGGGGCCGGGTGGGGCTGAAGAGGAAATGCCAGTTATTTTTAGCAACTGAAAGAAATAATGAACAGTTGCAAGAGCCGCACTGAAGAAGATGTCACCAAGTAAACTGTTTCCTGAGCAGTCCCTTTGGACAACAGCAGCGTGATGTGCTCAGGCCCACTACCCTAAACTAGGTCAGGTCATCGAGGGGGTACTTAACTGGTTCTCAAAAACCCCCGGCCCCAAACACACACGAATGAACTTTCAGGATGAAGAACCTTGAAATGTCAAATGTTTTGTTACGTAGGTGTGTGCCACAATTAGAAAAATAAAAGCAGATCACAAAACGTGGCAATGGGTAGTGCCAGTCAGTTCTGTATCCTGTGAGGTCTTTGTTCACCTCTTCGCACACTGGGGCTCAAAGCAGCAGCAGGTGCCCTGTGGGATACAAATTCCTCTACATGTGAAATTGACACAGGGCTTTAGAGGATCTACTTCTTAAAAATACACCCAACAATCTGAAAGTATTTCATTTGGTCTTTCTATTTTTCTCCCTTTTCTTGTGGACCAGGGAGGGGGGGGTGTGCAGCTCTAGGGGAGGGTGTGTGTCCAGCAATGGGAACATTACTACTTAACATGTGAATTTCCAGCTCCTAACATCTAAGAAGTGGAAACTCTGGGTTTTAATGGGAGACCAAGTCAAACAAAATCCAACAACGAATAAAAAGCCCCTCCTTGGCTTATGAACAAAGGGCAAGACACATAAAAGGTTTTCAACAAAACATGCAACGATAAACGGTGTCTTAGTCCAACCTAATGTCCTCTCTGACACCACCTTCACAGTTCCCTAAACTTCCACACCCCGAATCCACCTGGCACTTTATAGTCATGAACATGTATATCTTATTGACATAGTATAGTTTTCCTCAGTGGACTGTAAGCTCCATGAAGGAAGGGATGTTTTTCTGTTGTTGCGTTCGGTTTCTGCTGTGGCCCTGTACCTAGAAGACCATCTGTTACACAGCAAGTGTCAGTAGGATAAATGACGCTTAATACTTTCGCACCTGGCACAGAGTCACCACTCAGTCAAGGCTTGCTGACATGAATGAACCCAAAGTTTACTAAAAACACCTTGGTCATCAGTAAACAACACCCTTCCAGCTCAACCCCTTGGGTTGTGCACAATAGCATTCAGAAAACCCTAACTGCCATCACAAGAGTTGGAGTACACTTCTTGAATTTATTTTGGTTGACAGATTGTACTGTCCTACTCTAAGAGGCAGCAAAGTTTTGACAAACTTGGCACTTACTTTAGCGTGAATCTCCTTAATCCACATTTTTCTATGTACTACAGTGTGACGGTTAGGTTTTCTGTGCCAATTTGGCTCCTGTAAGAATATGTGGGAGGAGTTTAGCCTGTCAATCAGGTCGCAGTTTGATTGGAGGATGACTGAGATAAATGGCTTTCTGAGGCCAGCCTCCGTCTTTCTTTCTCCCTGGTGATCAGACCTATGCTCCTGAGTTAGTCCTTAGACTCAACCATGTGCTGCGATACCTACGGACCCAGCCAACCCATGGATCTTGTCACCTTGCTACGCATCATAGAGCTTGAGGCTCCATCATCACCTGCTTCACCACACTACTGGTGGATTTTGTCACCGTGCATGCACTGCTAGAACTTGTGGCTCCATTGGGACTTGCTTCTCTACATTCCCACTTTATGGCCTCTGCTATGCCTCAACTTCTCATCTTCCTGCTGTTTCTGCCCCACTCTGCCAAGTCTGCTGCCTGCAGACAGACTCTGCTCGTCTTGCCTGAGGGCAAATGCAACTGTCTGCTTCCTTGACCTTGGACCAGCAGCCAGCATGAGTTGAAGGACCTTCAGTATATTAACTGTCACATGAAAGTGAGGAGAACTGAGTCCTCTGTACTGCTGTGTGGAATAATAGCTTTGTATTCCATTTCAGTATATAAATCAATCAATCTATCTATCTATCTATCTATCTATCTATCTATCTATCTATCTATCTATCATCTATCTATCTATCTATCATTATGTGCCCTGGATTTTTTTCTCTAGAGAACCCTGCCTAACACAGACAGGTATATATTTTGGGAATCCTCAGTGGAAATATATGCACAGTTATACAGTTAGATATACAAAAAGAATCAGAAAAGGTGTATAATTGTATATGTCAACGACGTGTAGTTGCATACGACATTTACAAGATGTGTGGGACCCCATGGGTTCTGCAGCAGAACGGTTCCACAGGGTTTTCTGGGTCATATCTTTATGGAGCAGTTGACCAGGTCTTTCTGCCGCTGAGTGTCTGAATTGGTTCAAACCATCAACCACTGCAAACTGCTTGCACTACACAGACTGTGCAGTTACCTACCAGGCATGATGATATTAGAAAACCCCAACTTCCTCGTTATGGATACTCCATGAGAAAATACCGAGGAGTATTCCCTTCTCATTTGTTCCATGTCGCCATGTAACAGTTGTAGGGAAACCGCCAAGCCTAAAACAAATGGGAGAAAGCAGAAGAAAGACTGAGGGTTAGAAATAGCACGAAGGCAAGCGCTTCAACAAGTAAAGACCTGTGGCATTATCATCTTAAGGTGAGCATTAATTTTCAGACACAATCAATAGTCTACAAGAATACTGTCTAGATTACCCTCTTCCAACTTCAGCCACTGAGTTTTATGAGGAAGTTGACAGCAAATGGACACACTTAAACAGAAGAGAGATAACACCTGGCTTGTGTCCCCAAACTCTGTACTCAAGCTCCAGATGAATGGGGCAGATTCCTGTACCAACACTCAGTCCATCAACGGAGGGCTACCTGAACCCGGAGGATGTTCATGTTCAAATGAAAGGGGTTTGGTTTTTGTTTTACATTTGGGTGTAAGCACATATAGCCAAAGATACACTATTTCAAAATTTCTATACATGCACTTTTCAGCGACATTGATTATATTGTTCAAGTCCTGCTACCTTTCACAATTCTCTCACCCCACGACTATTATCGGAAACTCACTGACCCCACAATTCCCAGCCAAGTCTCCCAGTTGCTCTTTTCAATTTGATCCCCCATACAAAATTCTTTAAAAGAGCACCAGGCGCAAAGCAGATGCACTTTACACAGTAAGAGGAAGTACTGCTTTGGTTCAGTGATTTCTGGGCATGTGTGGTTTGGGCATTCCCATTTAATGATGATCTCAGGGAACAGTTTGAGGGGTCATCCAGCCTCAATGTCCTCCAAAGCCTGATACCATCTAAACAGGCGCTTGAAGAAGGAAGATGCATAAGTACCAAATATCAGAAAGATGACCAGAAATCTGAAGACACAGAATAACTCAAGGTTTTAAAAGATACAAAGGATCCCAGAGAACAGAGTAGAGTAGCTCCATAGGAATTCCAAGATTGTAAATCTTCTCACACAAAAAGCAAGCTGCCTCATCTTTCTCCAACTGGTGGATTTGAACCACAAGCCTCCCGGCTAATAGTCTGGTGATTGACCTACTGGGGCAACAGAGTTCCTACTGCTTTTGAGCAGAATGGTGAAAGCATTGACTCAAAGGGAAGCTGGAGCCTCGCCAGGGCTAGACTCGACCTTCAAGAGACATGCTTAAAGGTCAGGGACATAACACTGGCATGCACAGGGCCTCTCCTAGTGGCCCCCACTTTCTGACATGCAGATCTACTAGAATGTTTGCCTTGGAGCGGTGCTTTGAGAATGAATCTGGAAGGAACACAAGAGTTTTCAATTAAGCATGCATCCCATTTGGGCCTAGCTAACCTTTGTTGTAGGAGTCTGGTAGGGTGGAGAGTTACTCATTGAACTGCTTAACTAAAATGTCAGCAGTTTGACACCACCAGCAATTCCCTGGGAGAAAGATGAGGCTTTTCCTCCTCTCATTAAATGTATAGTCTTGGAAACCCACAAGGAAGGGTTTACTTTGTCCTACAGGGTCGCTTTTCTCGCTGGATGGCAGGGAGCTGCTTTGCTTTGTATCCTGGAGTCAATTCGATGCAGAGGTTTCCCCCGTGGCCAAGTAAACTGCCTCCTGGGGCTTCTTGGCTGTAATCTTCATTGGAGCAGGAGGCCACTTCTGTTCTCCTGGGGAGCCACTGTTGGATTCAAACACCTAACCTTATGGTTATCAGCTGAGCATGTAACCGTGGTGCCACTAGGGCTCCTAGCTAACCCTTCCACCCACTGAGACCTCTTCGAAGCACAGCTCTACACTGGCACACAGCAGTGACCCTGATGGCAACTGAAGACCATTAGTAGGCTCTCATCCCCACCCCACCTCCATTTTGAGTGGGTGGCTGAAGGCAGGGGTCAAGATGTTGGAGGGGGGGGGGGGTTTGAGGTGGCAACTGCTCTCCTACAACCTCAAAGAACGAAGTACCAGGAGAATAAGCCTCTGGACGCTGGCTGGATACAACTCTCGTTGGGATATTTTATGTGGTGCCATTGGTTGCTTTTCAAGCCCAGAGGCAGAAGAATAGAGACAAACTGAAACATGTCGCCACCCATCTGTCCGAGCAGTTCTTTCTTTCCTTCTGTGAGTCAGCAGTCCTGACTCACACTCTCCCACTACCCCCACTTCGTTCCTGGCAGCTCTGTTCTCCTCCCACTGCTGTCCTTCTGCCTTCCACATGCTCACCCACACCATCACCACCATTGTTAGCATCACCAGGAGTCGGTATTTGTAGAATGCCAGTGTGTGCCAGACACGGTACACCATAACAGTCCCTCCCACTGGGGAGAACACGGTTCAAATCTGGGTGGGGAGCACAAGGAGAGAATAGGATTGATTTAACCAGATGCAAGGCAGGGCCCTGTGATCTCTGCAAGTGAACATGTTACTCGAGCATCTCGGTCAAAAGTCTGATGAGCGGAGAGACACCGGCAACTACTAAGTGGTACACACAAAGGAGGGGGGTCAAAGGACTGAGCTGTGGTGAAAACAGAAAGAGCTTGCCCAGTTGGGGGTAGGTTTGGAGGAAGGAAAACTGACCGAGATTCTTGTTTTGTTTTTCTGGGGGGCTAACATACTTCAAGCCAGCAGTGTAATTTTATATCTCAATCCTGAATGCTTTACCAAGCATGAAACTTTGAGGAAAGCAAAGCACAAAGCATTAACTCCCAGTAGATCGGGAAGAAAGGGAATGACAAGAAATTGAGACAAACTGTGTTTAGGGAAGTACAGCTAGAAGGAGGCGAAGTGTGAGCCGAGAAGTACATCAAGGTTCTCTATATAGGGAGTCATGAGCGTGGAGAGACAGAGAGGATCCGTTTAGATAGAAAGAGGAACCATCTGGTGGACAGAGGAAGGAAATGGAGAAGCGATCCCTATCAAACTGCACTCACTGCCTTTGAGCTGATTCCACTCCAAAGACACTACCATAGGACGGAGCAGAACTGCTCATATGGATCCCAAGGCTGTACACCTTTCTACTGCAGAGTGGCTGGTGGGCTCAGAAACAGGGGAGACAAAAACAATAAATTAGCGTGGGGGAGAAAAGAAAAACTAAGTATTTTAGACTTGATTGCATCCCACAGTTTGATTAGAAATGATAGCTGTCAACATGAAGGTTTGGAGAGGTAGAGAGAAAAGCCACTTCACCTGTCTGTCTAGTCCAGGAGTCCTCAGACTATGGCCCGCAGGCCACATGTGGCCCACCGAGGACATTTATCCGGCCCGCCAGGAGGTTTTGCCCCATTTGATTTTTTACTTCAAAATAAGATATGTGCAGTGCGCATAGGAATTTGTTCATAGTTCTTTTTTAAACTATACTCCTGCCCTCCAACAGGTCTGAGGGAGAGTGAACTGGCCCCCTGTTTAAAAAGTTTGAGGACCCCTGGTCTAGTCAATGGGCAGTAATTTGGGAGAGGCAGTGATTTTGAGGCAGCCCAGTTCTCTCCAGAATGAAGACCATGGAGTCTGGAAGTGGAAATTCAACAACTTGACTGAAATAAATGTATCTGACTCCTCCCACATCATCAATTCACTTCCCAGAAAGAAACCACGATGCTTGCCCAAAACACATCAAAGAGTGGGTCTACTTTGAATATGCCCATGAAAAACCACATGAGCTCCCCCAGTGGGAAGCCCACAAAGGAGTCATTACAGAAGGATTTATTTATTTCTAACAAGAGAAACTCCTGATGTTATTTTTATACTTTGCCCTCAATTATAATGACCACAATAAAGAGGCTGGATAAATTAGTCACCAGAAACAAGTAAGAAATAATGTCTTAAGACTAAGAAATTACTCATGACCACAAAAGAGATTGAACAAATATTTATGCCATTCAAGAAACATGCTTGGCCCTATCTTTAGTTGCTAATGGCTTACGGCATAGGATATGTGTTCATTGAGCAATGGTTCACTTCTTATGCTTTGCTTAGTGAGAATATTTCACTGGCCTGGCCTACTATTTGGCGGGTAAGGTAGCTTTCTAAATGTGATCTACCTGCTTTACCTTCTTTCTGCCACAATTTCTGGACAATGCAGTAAGGTAGGCCTTGAGGAGAAAGCTGGAGAATGGAACATAAGACTATAAACAAGATTCCTGCTCCTAAGGAACTGGTTACCAGTAATACACAAAGAACCCACCCATGTACAGTACGATGTAAAGCAGAATTGATGACGTGCACCCCACTGCTGCCATGTTGATTCCGACTTCCAGAGACCCTAGAGGGCAGAGGGAAACTGTGCCAGAGAACATCTTTCTCTCTGGCGTATGTGGTGAGTGCAAACTGCTGAACGCTCCCTTAGCGGTCTAACACTTACCTCACTGTGCCACCCAGGATCCTTAACGTGGTGAGAAGGACATTAAAATCAGGGAAAGTCATCAGGGATTGGGTTAATTTAGAGAATTCAAGGAATTCTTTTTTTTTTTTTTAATAATAGGCTTTATGACCGCCAATTAGTTAAAGAACCAAGTTAAATATTTAACTTCACAAAATAATATTTTCAAATTACTTTTTGAAAGGAGGGAAGGAGGGAGGGGACAGGAAGAGAAGGAGGAAGAGAAGGAAAGGAAGTAAAGAAAACCAAACGCACTGTCATCGGGTTAATTCTAACTCATAGCCACCCAACCAGACCCAGTCGAATGGCTCTCTGGGGGTCCAAGGCTATGTTTTATGGACACAGACAGCCTCATCTTTCTCCAGCAGAGTGGCTGATAGGTTTGACCTGCTGACTTTTCAGTTAGCAGCCCCAAACTTAACGCATTGCACCACCAGCGTGCCATTAGTAAATGCCAAGAATGAAAATGTCAAGGAAGAAAGAAACCTTATTTACAGAAACATTATTACACTACACTTTACATAAGCCCAGATGTTTAATCGTCAGTTACAAGGTGTCTTGGTGGCTAATGGTTCAGTGTTGGACTGCTATCCACAAGGTCAGCAGTTTGAGCCCACCCGCCCTTCTATGGGGGAGAGATAAGGCTTTCTGACCCTGTGAAGATGTGCAGCTTTGGAAACCCACAAAAGCAGC